GCAACTGCTTCACCAGTTGACCCTCCTGGCCATGACCTCCGGGCAGGTCTTCAGCGACAGCTCCGTTCTGAAAAAGAGCCGCCGTGGATCCGTGCAGCGCTGCGTGCGTCGAAGTTCTGCGCCATCATACGAAGAATGCCTCAGGCGAGAGCTCCATCCTGAACAAAACAGTCCTGCATATAAAGAAATGTTTATTTATTCATGGCGACAGCGGGCACTAGGGGGGGGGTGCGGCGGGGGAAGGATAAGAAAACGCCCTGCCCCCCCCAGCCGTGTGGCTCTGGCATCACAGCGCCTGTGCGCACCACGACATGCACCACAGTGCGCACAAGAGTATACACCGCCGTATCCGCGTGCATCACAGCGCCTGTGTACAGCGCAACGCCTGCGTGCAACACGGTGCCCTCGTGCACCACAGCGCCTGCGTGCACCCACCACAGCAGCCGCATTCACCCGAGCGCCTGCGCACACCCCGACGCCTGCGTGCACCACAGCGCTTGTGCACACCACAACGCCCCATGTTGCTTGCACTTCTGTCGTGGAGTTGCGCTCCGGAAGGGGTCTGGGCGCCCCCTCGCCTCGAGGGAGGAGGCGGGCAGCAGTGGTGTTCACAGGCCCGCATACTACTGGTGAACAACTGTGAGAACACAACAGTCTTTCTGACGACCACACACACGACGACGAACACGATGACGACGGCAACGACGACACGACAACTACGACGACGATCGCGACGATTGCGAAGGCTACGACGACGAAGACAGTCACGACGACGATCACAACGACGACCACACGCAGACTACGACGACTATCATTACAACTACGACGAAGACTACGACCACGACGATTACGACGACGACAACGACGACGACGACGGCTACGACAGACAGAACAGCGATCACCACGATCACAAAACGACCACGACGACGATTGTGAGGACTACGTGGGCCGCACATCCAGTCCTCCTTCTCCTCCTCCTGAATCCGCTGCTACTGCTACTGCCGTTGCAGGAGGAGGAGGAGGAGGAGGAGGAGGAAGAGGAGGAGGAGGAGGAGGAATTCCTGCTACTAAAATGCTGCTACCCTGCCAGTACCGGAATACCGTGTGAACCCCGCGCTGGTGCGCATAAACATGCCGGGCCCTGCAAGTGCAACAATGGCCTGCGAGCGCAGCACCATGTCTGCGAGCACGGACAGCGAGCCTGTGAAGATCACACCAGACCGTGAAGGCCACAGTAGCCTGCGAGCACCACAGTAGCGCAACAATAGCCTGCGAGGAAACGCAGGCGCTGCGACCGCACCTTGCTGCGAGACTGTGCTGCACGCGTGCACTGCGGCAGCGCCGGAGGCGCACACACCAGGGGGGAGAACGGGAGGGGGGGGGGCGTTACGTTATTGGGGGGGAGGGTGGGCATAAGGCGCGTTATGGCCCAGAGTGTTAAAAGCATTCTAAACGCTCTAAAAAAAAAGGCACAGCGCTAAGGCGAGAGCCCCATTTTGAAAGGGAACCGCCCACCATCCGAGAAGCGAGTGCAGACTTTCACGACCGCCCACCATCCGAGAAGCGAGTGTAGACTTTTACGACGAATATGCGCGGCAATAAGGCGAGAGCCACTTTTCGAAAACTACGCCCCTTCCATCCATGGACGTTCTGCAGACGTTTAAGACTATTGCGCGCGGCACTAAAGCGAGAGCCACATTTTGAAAACGACCCCCCTCCATCCATGAAACTGCTGCAAAAGTTTAGGACGAATGATCTCGGCGCTAAGGCGAGAACAACATGTCCAAAACCACGCCCCCTCCACCCGTGAAACGGTTGCAAGCTTTCAGGACGAATGCGCGCGGCGCTAAGGCGAGAACCACCCTTTCAAAACGGACGACCCCCCATCCATCCGAAAAACTGCTGCAAACTTGAAGAGAACATGTGCGCGGCGCGAAGGCGAGAGCCACATTTTGAAAACGGCCGCCCCCCCTCCATCCGTGAAAACTGCTGCAAAGGGTTTCAAATAATGAAAGAATGTGCGCGGCGCTAAGGCGTGAGCCACATTTTGAAAACGACAACCACCCCTCCATCCGTGAAACTGTTGCAAATTTCAAGCCTCAGGATCACAAGTGATGGGGAAGTCTCAGGTGGAACACCCGACCCGCCCTACCGACACGCCTTGGGATGCGACAGGGGGGTGATACGTATATGGAAAAGGGATAGAAGGAGGGGGCGGGTGAGGGAGGGAGAAGGATGGGTGAGCGTGGGGGATGGAGGAGCAGGGAGGTGTCAAGAGGAAGGGAGAGGAAGAGGAGGAGGAGGAGGAGGAGGAGGAGGAGGAGGAGGGGGAGGAGGGGGAGGAGGGGTCCCTGCCTTATCTTTGGCCGGAACCAGAAGACAGACGACATACTGTGAGGTGGCCTTTTCGCTAGACAACTGCCTGAGGCGACGACCACCCTTCTCAAATCGTGCGGCGCTCCAAGACCCGCCCGACACCCGCATGCCAGAGGTGAAAACGCGTGCGATACGTTTGGCTGCCCCGATCCCCCCGCCCCTCCCTGGGGCCTAATGATGGGCTTGTTTTCCACCACCGCCACCATAAGTTGGAGGGGAGAAGGAGGAGAAGAAGGAGGAGGAGGAGGAGGAGGACGAGGTCGAATAGGAGGAGGAGGAGGAGGAGGAGGAGGAGGAGGAGGAGGAGGAGGAGGACCCCCTCACCCTCCAACTTATGGTGGTGGTGGTGGAAAACAAGCCCATCACCCAAGATCCCATGAGGGGAAGGGCAGGGGAAGCCCGCGAGGTCCCTGGCGCGCCTCCCCGGCACTCGGAGCCTCCACCCGCCCACCGCGGCCTTCAAGGTGGCCCGGGACACCCTCCGAGGTGGCTCCACAGAGGCTCCCACGTGCCAGAGAGGCTTCCAGCACATTCAAGATGGCCTCAGGACGGCGCCAAGAGGCCCCCCAGATTGGCCCAAGACGGCCGAGCCCAGAAAGGGCCCAAGGGGGGCCCAAGACTGCCTAAGAGGCCCCCAAAAAGGTCAGAAAGGCCTTCAAAAGAGAGGCCCGAGAGGAGCCAGAGAGGCCTAAGGGGGGGAACTCGCAGGGGCGTCGGGAGCCCTCCCCCAGAAGATGGCCCCCAAGACGCCCAACACGCCCCCAAAATGACCCCAAGATGCCCCCGATAGACGCCCAAGAAGCCCTCAGAGGGTCCCAAAAAGCACCCAGGAGCCATGAGAAGGCTCCCGAGAGGCCCACAAGAAGCCCAACCACAGACGCGGAGGAAGAAGGGGACAAACCAGAAATAACTACACGCAGGCAGCACGACGGGACGCGGCGAACAACAAATGCGAAATCAGAAGCTGGACATATCCTCTTCTGGGGGACGGCGGAAAGACGTAGGACGCTTGCATTTAGAGAGGGAGGCAGGAGAGGGCGAAGATGGAGAGGCTTGAGCCAGGTGCAGCGGCGGAAACGGACTGCGCACCAGCTGAGACATTCGGACGGACAGGAATATTCACAGAGCTCGATGCGACCGGCTTCTTCCTTGGCCAGCAGCACTACCATATCTTGTGAGGCGGTCTTCTCGCTTGACAGCTGGCTACGGCGACAGTCGCCCCTCCCGACATTGCGCCCTGGCGGGCCGCCTTATCCAACATCCTCCTAGTCCTCGAACCATGAGGTCCTTCTTGTCTCCCACGCAGTCCTGAAGCCATTTATGACTACCTACCAGACCACCCCAACCCAACCCGAAGACCCGAATTTCGGGTTGGGAGAGGGTACGGGTTCCATACGTGTTTTCTCGATGTTCCCCGACCCCCCCCCACTGGAAATGGAGGGCAAATTGAGGCCTTCGGGTTGGGTTGGGGTGGTTTGGTGAGTGGTGACTTCTTGTCTCCCACAGTCCTGAAGCCTTTCAGCAACCACGCGCCAGCGAGCTAGGAGTCCTCTGTGCGGGGCCGCTCCACGGCACGCCGTTCGGCACCGGACCTTGACGGATCTGGTGCGCCGCGCCTGCCCACGGGGCACAGCTCGCGCCGAGCGCCACGTCGGGTGAGCAACTCTTGCTGGCGGCGCCCGTCTCACGGGGACTCCACTAACGGGTACTTTGGCCAGTGGCCCAGCGAACCCAACCCTCCCCGATGTGGGCAACGCTGCAATGCCAGAACGAGGCCCTGAAGCGGCAACTTTCGGCACATCTCCAAAGTACCCGTTAGTGAGTGGCCCGTTACGGTGCCGCTGATGCCGGCGGCGGCGCGCAGTGCCCGGAGCGGAGGCGAGCCGGGTCCTGCCAGGTTGTGCCGAGCTGGCGCGACGAAAGCAGCATCTCGGCACTATGTGTTTGCGCGGTATTGCATATCACGGCTTCGCGCCACGGGTAGCTGCAGGCTGGACTCTCACCCATGAGACAGGAACGCCGTGTGCTATGCAAGTTCGCATCACCATCTGCACAGCCGGAAGCGTGATGTTACCCATCAACTGGCATTCCAGCGCCTCGCCCTCCGGGTGCGGATGTTCATAGATATCGAAAACAAATATGTAACGACGAGAGGGGCCCAGCTACGGAACGACCAAGCATATGGCACATGGAAAAATGCGAGCACTGCGAGGACAAGTCGACTGGAGACCAATCCAACAATCGTTGCTGTTTTCTCCCACGGTCCTCGAAGCGAGGCCGAAGAATTTCGAGCAGCGGAAATCCAGTTCGATACAAATATAATTCAGCTTGCACGGGGTGCTTGCCAGACCTCCACTCCCCGAGAAAATGTCGACAAAGAACCTTGGCGGCGCGTCGCCTGGCTCTACATGCATGGCTTCGCTGAGCCCAACCTGGAGGGGCAGGAGGGATGAGCGAGGAGGGGGGAGGGAAACGGGGGAGGAAGGAGGAGAGAGGTAGAGGGAGGGGGGACGGAGGAGGGAGAAGAGAGAGGGACCATCCTGCTCCACCTCCCCTCTTTCCCCCCACGGCCCACCCATCATCCTGGAGGTTGGAGGAAGACACGGGGGGGGAAGGAGGAAAGCCTCGCGCCCCTTCGCGCAGGCGTGGATGACGGTGGAATAGCTGACGGTGTCGGGGACCAGGCCGCGCTCCTGAAAAGGAGCAGAGGAGAACGAGGAGGAGGCGGAGGAGGAAGAGGAGGAGGAGGAGGAAGAACCGAATTGCCTTGGACTTCGGTGCGGAGCACGCCATCTACTCCGCTCCTGCTCCGGCGTACCTCGCCTAAGCCACGGCCTCGGCGAATCCATAAAAAAAATGCAGTCGTACATCGACTGGTGATATATCCATGCCGATATTTTCATCACACAAGACCCCGACCAACCGCCAAGTGTGTCCACGCTTAGACGATATGCAGATGTAATTATTGGGTCACGTTGATTAGCACCGCTGAGAAAGAACCATCGCCCTCGACAGAAGACAGCAAAACATTGATAGAGTTGTTTATGCATGCTGGTAGCTGCACATTTCGTACGGACAAGCTCCTTCCCCACGGCCTTGAAGGCGACAGGGACATGACACCGGTTGCCAGGAATATCCGCCTGTCTGCTGTGCGCGACAATTCGCATATCATACACAGCAGGCATGCGCTGCGCGCGTGCCCGTCTAGCGTAGCCCATTTGGCCCCCTGGATTGCAAAGGTGCCTAGGCAGCTGTCCAGGACGGCACACATTCGCTTCTTCAATGGAACTGAAGCAATTAAGCCGTCGTCGAGGGCGACAGCGTCGTCGGCGGGTTGCGCAGCGTCTGGGGCGGCTGCGGCGTCGTCGCAGCCTTGCGCACGGCGCGCTGCAGTCGCGGCGCCCGCGATGACGTCGCCGACGAAAGGGGGGCGGCAAGGCGTCGGCTGCCGGCAGCGGCTGCACGCGCGTCGCTCAAATGGCTGGAGGCCGCCGCAAATGGAGTCGGCGCAACCGCAACGCTGGAAGGCCACAACCGTGTCCCGCACATTGGCGCCAATGGCCTGGCCTGTGCGCGTCGCCGCGAGGTGCCGCGCGAAGCGACCAGGCGTGCGCGAGCCTCGGTCTGGGCACCATGCGCACCAGTAATGCCTGTTGCGGAAAGGCATGCGTGGGGCAGCGTTCGGGTCGGGAGGTCGCGGCGGGGCTTCTCCAGCGCGTTCGGGCACGGCGGAAGCCCGCGCGGCTGCTCGCGCCCAGGCGAAGGGAAGCCCGTCGGGTTCGAGGCGACGGCGGGGGCTGCAGCCCGCGAGCACCAAGTAACTGCAGAGTGGCGAGTCGGGCAAACAGCGTCGGCGTCGATGGCCCAGGCTGCCGGGCGCCGGCATCAATCGCCATCCGCGCGGGGGCGGCGCTAGCGCTCGAAGACGCCGCACCAGTGGCAGCGGCGGCGGAGGGGGCAGCCCTTGCGCAGCAGAGCCTCCTGCACCCGCTAAAGCGGCGCGGCGAACTCCTCGATGGGGATGCACACTCCTCCCTATCTATGGTCCGGAGCTCGAGCAGCGGCTCGTCGCCCTCTGCGCGGCTGCGCCAGAGTTGGCGCCTGGGCGAGCCTCGGGCCCCACTGCCATCGCCGACCTCGACGAACGCGCTGCGCACTGCGATGTTGGGCGTTCGTCGCGGGCCCCAGCTCGCGGGCGCAGGGAAGGCAGGCGCGAGATCGGCCCGCGGCCAGGAGGACTTGTCCGCAGACCACCAGCCTGGAAAGCGGATGGCCGCGCCACGCCTGGCTGAGGAGGCAGGGGGCCCAGAGCGCGGCCGCGATGCACACTAGTCTCGCGAAGTGGAGCTGTTCGGCAGGCGCGGCGGCGCACAAGCTCCCGAGCGCACGCTGCATTGGTAGGCAGTGCACAGCGGCACCGAAAGCCAAGATGCGCAGGGGCGCCGGCGAAAAGCCTGCCACCAAGAGCACGACGCACGCGAAGGACGGCACAGGCAGCATGGGGCCTGGGACTACTTGCAGCGCCTGCGTGGTCATAGCGCAGGCAAGCACCCACACGGCGAAGGCAAGCAGAGAAAACAGCGAGTCCAGCAGCAAGCTGACGAGTTGCTGGAGCGGGCCCTCTGGAGACGGGGCTCCAGAGCTGGACGACGCGCAAGATGCCGAAGACGCCGAATGCGTGGAGGCCTATGGCGAATAACCAGATGAAGGCATGCGCAACGGTGGCAGTGGCGATTTCCTTGCGTGAGGTGCTTCTGGTGAAGCTGTCGCTGCTGTTCTCGGAGCACTGGATACCTCGAGGGCGCGATGCAGGTCGTCGTCGGCCGTCTTGCTCTTTGCTGGTGAAGGTACGCCAGACGGCGCAGTTGCTGGGGTCGAGGTAGCTGGGCCGATCTCTCGGACGATCGCGTCGATGTCCAGAAAGACTGGTGCCGGAGGTGCCAGAGGCGCTGAGGTCGGTGCCGAGACTGGATGTCTGCTTACGAGGAGGAGGAGGAGGAGGAGGAGGAGGAGGAGGAGGAGGAGGAGGAGGAGGAGGAGGAGGAGGGGGCGGGGGAGGGGGAGGGGGGGGGGCGGATGGGGGAGGGGAAGGGGGAGGAGGAGGAGGAGGAGGAGGAGGAGGAG